ACAGAGACCCAGAGAGGGGGGAACAGACCCAGAAAGAGGGGAGAGACCCAGAGAGAGGGGAACAGAGACCCAGAGAGGGGGGAACAGAGACCCAGAGAGGGGGGAACAGACCCAGAGAGAGAGGGGGCAGAGACCCAGAGAGAGAGGGGAACAGAGACCCAGAGAGAAGGGTCCCAGGGATGTGGGGACACACTTGGCTGCAGGGAGGGCTTTTGAAAGCAGGCGTGTTGTCCCCTCTGAGCTGTGGCCCTCCCTCCAGGATGGGCGGCTGAGCAAAGCGGAGATCCTGGGGAACTGGAACATGTTTGTGGGCAGCCAGGCCACCAACTACGGCGAGGACCTGACCCGGCACCACGACGAGCTGTGAGCCCCATGCGCCCGCTATAGCCTTGTGGGGAGCGTGGTGACCTGAGCAGGGGCCGCTGTGGTCCAGCCCCTCCCTGTCCAGGCCCCGCAGGAGGCAGACGCAGTCTCTCACGGACCCCCTGGGTGGCCGCCTGTCCCTGTGACACCCCCAACCCCAAGAGGGGCCCTCACCATCCCAGAGGATAAGTGACACCTATTTCTGACTGGCCCCGTCTCCCAGCCCAGACCCAGGAACCCTGGCCCCAAGCTCAGCCCCCCCAACCCCTCCGGCTCCCAATCTGAGCCTCCACCACACAGGCTGAGAAACTCCCCCGGCCCCGCCCTCTCCTGCCTGGCCCTGGGGCACCTCCTCTGCCAGGAGCCAATAAAAGGCAGCGGCGGGACCTTTCGTGTCTGTCTGTCTCTGTGAAGGGTAGAGGAGCCCTGGAGATGGTTTGGGGGCTGAGGCACACAGTCGGGGACCAGGCATTTGAAGGAGGCGTGCTGGGTACTGGCAGGGTTGGAGGGCATTCCTAGGTATAAAAAAGAAAACATGGCCGGGCGCGGTGGCTCACGCCTGTAATCCCAGCACTTTGGGAGGCCGAGGCAGGTGGATCACGAGGTCAAGAGATCGAGACCATCCTGGTCAAAACGGCGAAACCCCGTCTCCACTAAAACTACGAAAAACATTAGCTGGGCATGGTGGTGCATGCCTGTAATCCCAGCTACTCAGGAGGCTGAGGCAGGAGAATTGCCTGAACCCAGGAGGCGGAGGTTGCGGTGAGCCGAGA